CAGGAGTTACGCTGGCTCACCTACCTGCTGACCGACCTTGGAGAGCAGCCTCGTTCTCCTTCAGTCCTGTACGTAGACAACAAGGCCATGCTGGCCTTGTGTCGAGAGCAGCGACTGGAGCACAGAACGAAGCACATTGCTCTTCGCTACTTTCTTGCTCGTGAGCTACAGCAGTGTGGACAGCTGCGACTTGCGTACGTGGCCTCTGAGGCCAACACTGCTGATGTCTTCACCAAGGCACTTGCGCCTTGTGATCATCAGCGTTGCTGCACGCAGTTGGGTCTTGTGCCTGTCTTGCCTCACTTGCTCTCCTCTTGACCTTGCTTGTACCTTCGCATATATATACTCTTACTCTTGTATATCTCTATATATGATCTTGCATGTGAACTGGCCATGTGGCCTTTGAACTTGTGCTCGGAATGCGTGGTGACTTTGTGATCCACCCTGAGCTTTGCTTTGCTTTGCTTGACTGGTCTTGTGACCCCTTGTTCTCCCCCACTTTGCCTATGGGGGTGTGTCAGAACATATAGCTTACATGTTTGTGTAAGAGCAGACCGCTAGATTCCCTCTTCTTTTCGAGAAATGAGCGTTTCCGTTCTCCTTGGCCCTATTTGCAAAACAAGTGCGAAATGCCGGCTAGACTGGCCGATGCACCATTTTCTCTACACATGTGCGTTAGTTACCTTTCAAACCCTTACGTTCACTAGATGAATTTATTTCCTACCTTCTATTTGAGTGAGACCAGAAGATTTCGTGTACTATGCGAGATCTGAGCGCTTCCGTTCTCCCTGGCATTTGCACTCTAAGTTCCCATACTGACCGACCTGGCCTATGCACCATTTTCCATATACATATGGATTAGATTCCTTTCGAACCTTATTACCTCACTAGATAAATATATTTCCCACCTTCTGATTGAGTGAGACCGCTAGATTCCCTCTACTTTTTGAGAAATGAGCGTTTCCGTTCTCCTTGGCCCTACTTGCACTATAAGTGCGAAATGCCGGCCAGACTGGCCGATGCACAATTTTCTCTACACATGTGCGTTAGTTACCTTTCAAACCCTTACAATCACTAGATGAATATATTTCCTACTTTCTATTTGAGTGAGACCCCTTGATTCCGTGTACTATGCCAGATCTGAGCGCTTCCGTTCTCCCTGGCATCTGCATTTTAAGTTCCGATACTGACCGACCTGGCCAATGCACCATTTTCTCTATACATGTGCGTTGAATACATTTCAAACCTTTTTAGTTGACTAGATTTATATATTTCCCACCTTCTGATCGAGTGAGACCGTTAGATTCCCTCTACTTTTTGAGAAACGAGCGTTTCCGTTCTGCCTGGCCCCACCTGCACTATGAGTGCCAAATGCCGGCCAGACTGGCCGATGCACCATTTTCTCTACACATGTACGTTAGTTACCTTTCAAACCCTTACGTTCACTGGATGACTAATTTTCCTACCTTATATTTGAGTGAGACCACTAGATTCCGTGTATTTTGCGAGATCTGAGCGGTTCCGTTCTCCGAGGCATTTGCACTCCAAGTTCCCATACTGACCGACCTGGCCAATGCACCATTTTCCATATACATATGCATTAGATTCCTTTCGAACCTTATTAGCTCACTAGATTTATATATTTCTCACCTTCTGATCGAGTGAGACTACTAGATTCCCTCTACTTTTTGAGAAATGAGCGTTTCCGTTCTCCTTGGCCCTACTTGCACTATAAGTGCGAAATGCCAGCCAGACTGGCCGATGCACCATTTTCTCTACACATGTGCGTTAGTTACCTTTCAAACCCTTACATTCACTAGATGAATTTATTTCCTACCTTATATTTGAGTGAGACCACTAGATTCTGTGTATTGTGCGAGATTTGAGCGGTTCCGTTCTCCCAGGCATTTGCACTCTAAGTTCCCATACTGACCGACCTGGCCAGGCACCACTTTCCATATACATATGCATTAGATTCCTTCCGAACCTTATTAGCTCACTAGATTTATATATCTCCCACCTTCTGATCGAGTGAGACCGCTAGATTCCCTTTACTTTTTGAGAAATGAGTGTTTCCGTTCTCCTTGGCCCTACTTGCACTAAAAGTGCGAAATGCCGGCCAGACTGGCCGATGCACCATTTTCTCTTTACATGTGCGTTAGTTACCTTTCAAACCCTTATGTTCGCTAGATGAATTTATTTCCTACATTCGATTTAAGTGAGACCACTAGATTCCGTGTACTATGCGAGATCTGAGCGGTTCCGTTCTCCCTGGCATTTGCACTCTAAGTTCCCATACTGACCGACCTGGCCAATGCACCATTTTTCATATACATATGCATTAGATTCCTTTTGAACCTTATTAGCTCACTAGATTTATATATTTCCCACCTTCTGATCGAGTGAGACCGCTAGATTCCCATTACTTTTTGAGAAACGAGCGTTTCCGTTCTCCTTGGCCCTACTTGCACTATATGTGCGAAATGCCGGCCAGACTGGCCGATGCACCATTTTCTCTACACATGTGCGTTAGTTACCTTTCAAACCCTTACGTTCACTAGATGAATTTATTACCTACCTTCTATTTGAGTGAGACCACTAGATTCCGTGTACTATGCCAGATCTGAGCGCTTCCGTTCTCACTGGCATTTGCACTCTAAGTTCCCATACTGACCGACCTGGCCAATGCACCATTTTCCATATACATATGCATTAGATTCCTTTCGAACCCTAGTAGCTCACTAGATTTATATATTTCCCACCTTCTGATCGAGTGAGACCGCTAGATTCCCTTTCCTTTTTGAGAAATGAGCGTTTCCGTTCTCCTTGGCCCTACTTGCACTATAAGTGCGAAATGCCGGCCAGACTGGCCGATGCACCATTTTCTCTACACATGTGTGTTAGTTACCTTTCAAACCCTTACGTTCACTAGATGAATATATTTCCTACCTTATATTTGAGTGAGACCACTAGATTCCGTGTCTTATGCAAGATCTGAGCGGTTCCGTTCTCCCAGGAATTTGCACTCTAAGTTCCCATGCTGACCGACATGGCCAATGCACCACTTTCCATATACGTATGCATTAGATTCCTTTCAAACCTTATTAGCTCACTAGATTTATATATTTCTCACCTTCTGATCGAGTGAGACTACTAGATTCCCTCTACTTTTTGAGAAATGAGCGTTTCCGTTCTCCTTGGCCCTACTTGCACTATAAGTGCGAAATGCCGGCTAGACTAGCCGATGCACCATTTTCTCTACACATGTGCGTTAGTTACCTTTCAAACCCTTACGTTCACTAGATGAATTTATTACCTACCTTCTATTTGAGTGAGACCACTAGATTCCGTGTACTATGCCAGATCTGAGCGCTTCCGTTCTCACTGGCATTTGCACTCTAAGTTCCCATACTGACCGACCTGGCCAATGCACCATTTTCCATATACATATGCATTAGATTCCTTTCGAACCCTATTAGCTCACTAGATTTATTTATTTCCCACCTTCTGATCGAGTGAGACCGCTAGATTCCCTTTACTTTTTGAGAAATGAGCGTTTCCGTTCTCCTTGGCCCTACTTGCACTATAAGTGCGAAATGCCGGCCAGACTGGCCGATGCACCATTTTCTCTACACATGTGTGTTAGTTACCTTTCAAACCCTAACGTTCACTAGATGAATATATTTCCTACCTTATATTTGAGTGAGACCACTAGATTCCGTGTCTTATGCGAGATCTGAGCGGTTCCGTTCTCCCAGGCATTTGCACTCTAAGTTCCCATGCTGACCGACCTGGCCAATGCACCACTTTCCATATACATATGCATTAGATTCCTTTCGAACCTTATTAGCTCGCTAGATTCCCTCTACTTTTTGAGAAATGAGCGTTTCCGTTCTCCTTGGCCCTACTTGCACTATAAGTGCGAAATGCCGGCTGTCAAACATTATATATGTAGGCTACAGTGGCTTAGCCTATAGGGGGTACACAATTCTAGGGTTCTCCACTTGTACTCTTTTCACTGCTAGTTCATTCATTCCTGTTCACTTCTTTCACATGGTATAGATCGGGTCCTTCCTTAGGACCGTTTTTTTTTAGGGCCCACCGAAGCGCGCCCCGAGGCGCGCCTTTTTTTTTAGCGACCCCTCGGGTCGCCATTTCCCTCGCGGCCCCGCTGTCCCTAAGACGCGGCCCCGCCACCCCTCCTGATCGCGGCCCCGCCGCCTGCTTGACGCAGCCCCGCCGCCTCCACTGACGCGGCCACGCCGCCGGCTCTGACGCGGCCCTGTCGCCCGCTTCGTCGCGGCCCCGCCGCCTGCTTGACGCGGCCCCGCTGCCTCCACTGACGTGGCCCCGCCGCCGGCTCTGACGCGGCCCTGCCGGCCCGCCGCTGCACCCTACGGCCCGCCGCCTCACATGACGGCCCCGCCGCTGCACCTGCCGGCCCGCCGCTGCACCTGCCGGCCTGCCGCTGCACCCAGCGGCCCGCCGCTTCACCTGACGGCCCCGCCGCTGCACCTGCCGGCCCGCCGCTGCACACTACGGCCCGCCGCCTCACCTGGTCGGCCCGCCGCTGCACCCTACGGCCCCGCCGCTGCACCTGCCGGCCCGCCGCTGCACCGGTCGACCCGCCGCTGCACCTGACGGCCCCGCCCCTGCATCTCCCGGCCAAGCCGCCCCAGCAGCAGAGCCGCCCCAGCAGCCGAACCGCCCGGGAGCCGAGCCGCCCGGGACCCGAGCCGCCCTGCCGCTGAGCCGCCTGGGAGCCGAGCCGCCCTGCACCCGAGCCGCCCTGCCGCCGAGCCGCCTGGGAGCCGAGCCGCCCTGCGCCTGAGCCGCCCAGCCGCCGAGCCGCCCGGGAGCCGAGCCGCTGTGCACCCGAGCCGCCCGGTCGCTGAGCCGCCTTTCTGCAGAGCTGCACGACCTGCCCTGCCTGGTGAGCACAGTCCCACTGACACTGCGAGCTCTTTCCCTACTGCTTGCACTGCGTCGCTGTTGTCGCTATGGCTACCCCTAGTGTCCTAGCTTTTGACGCTGAGGGTCGCGCCATTGATTTTGAGGTCTGGTTAGACGACCTGCAGCTGTTCTTACAGTGCGACAGGGCTGACGACCTTTCTCTCTTTGACCTCACCTCTGGCGCCTCTCCTGCTCCTGCTGCTGATGCTGATCCCACTGTCTGCTCTAAGTGGGCCACCCGCGATGCTGCTGCACGTCTTGCTGTGCGTCGCCACCTCCCTACCTCTGAGCGTGCGCACTTTAGTCAGTACAAGAGTGCTCAGACCTTGTACGACGCTGTAGTTGCGCGCTACTCCTCCCCTGCCACTGCTTCACTGAGCCGTCTCATGCTTCCCTACCTCTTTCCTGACCTCTCTGCCTTTCCCACTGTTGCTGACCTCATTACGCACCTCCGCACTAGTGACACTCGCTACCGCGCCGCCCTTCCTGCTGAGTTCTGCGCTAAGAACCCACCCCCCATGTACATCGCTCTCTACTACGTAGTCGCGCGCCTCCCTGACTCCCTTCGTGTCGTCAGGGACCACTTTCTCGCAGTCTGTCCCACCACCCTCACCGTCGACCTCCTCGAGAAGGCCCTCCTCGCAGCGGAGAAGAGTATAGTTGCTGTAGGTGCTTCTCGTGGTGACCCTCGCACCCCCATCTTTGAGGGGTGCTCTCCTTCCCCCTTGCTGCCCTCTGTTGCCTCTGCTGCTGCTGCCGACCTGCTTGGTCTTGAGTCGGTCGGCGCGGCGTCTACCCCTAGTGGGAGACGTCGCTCCTGCAAGGGCAAGGGGGGCAAGGGCGCGGGTGGAGCTGGAGGGGGCGGTGGCGGTGGCGGCGGTGGCGGCGGAGGGAGTGGGGGTGGCAGCGGGACTAGTGGCGGGGGTGGTGGTGGTGGTGGCAGCAGCGGCGGAGACGGTGGTGGTGGTGCCAGCGGTGGTGGTGGAGGCAGCGGCGGAGGTGGAGGCGGCGGAGGTGGAGGCGGTGGAGGCGGCAGCGGAGGAGGCGGTGGTGGTGGAGGAGGTGGAGCTGGTCGGGGTGGTACCCAGCAGCGTAGCGGCGGTGGTGGTGGCCAGCGCTCGCAGCGGCAGCAGCAGCAGCGCTCGCGGGACATCCCTCCGCCTCAGCAGCTTCGTGAGTGGTACGCTGGGCGTCAGATGGGTGGGGGTACTGGTCCCTGCACCTACGTTCTTCGTTCCGGCGATCGCGCGGGTGAGCAGTGTGGGGTTGCCCACGCCACCCAGCGCTGCTTTGGCCGCCTGACGGACGCTTGGCGTCAGCAGTTCCCTGGGGCTAGTGAGATCCCTCGCTGGGATGAGCTTCTAAGGGCTGGTGTAGCAATCTTTGATCTTGATTTTGATGCTATCCTTGCTGCTATGTATGCTGTGGATTATAGTGAGGAGAATGAGGGTTACCGGTGTTTCCAGCCCGACCCGGGCATTGGTACTGCTGCGCTAGGTGCTTGTGAGGCTGCTGCTCTAGGTGCCAGTGCGTCTGTGCTCTCAGGTACTGGTGAGACTGCGCTCTCAGGTACTGCATCGTCCTCGTCCTCCCTCACTTTCACACTTGACTCCGGGGCTTCTCGCTCCTTCTTTCGAGACCGCACTACCCTTACGCCGCTCGGCCGGCCGGTTGCGGTCTCCCTTGCTGACCCCTCTGGGGGTCCTGTCCTGTCTCACTTCTCCACTGTCCTCCCGTGTCCGGCTGCCCCTTCGGGCACCCTGTCTGGTCTGTACCTTCCCTCGTTCTCTACGAACTTGGTGAGGGGAGCGGACCTGCAGGATGTGGGGGTTCACCAGTTCACTCCTGCGAGTCAGCGGGTGACCCACTGCACGGAGGCACGCACAGGCCGACACCTGGCCACGTTCTCGCGTCGGCCGGGGTCGAGTCTCTACACCCTGACCGTTGAGTCTCCTCCTGTCCCTGCGTCTGGTCAGGTGGCTGCGTCGGGTCAGGTGCTTGCTGCTGCGTCCCGGTCAGGTCCTGAGTCTGCCCCCTGTTCTAGTCGCCTCCTGTCTCATGAGACTCTCCTGTGGCACCACCGTCTTGGCCACCCGTCCTTGTGGCCCGTCTTCGGAGCATGGCTTCCCGTGTCCTTGTCTCTGGTCTTCCCCAGTCTCTCCCTCCTCTCCCCTCCCGGCCAGGACCTTCCTGTGTCCCCTGTGTCGAGGGTCGCCTCCGGGCTACTCCTCACTCCTCCCACTTCCCCCCGACAGAGGCTCCCCTGCAGGCGCTTCACATGGATGTGTGGGGCCCAGCCCCCGTCCGTGGGCAGGGTCACGAGCGCTACTTCCTTTTGGTGGTTGAAGACTACTCGCGTTACACCACAGTCCTCCCCTTGCGCAGCAAGGGTGCGGTCACTGAGGTGCTGATCGACTGGATCCGCGAGGCTCGTCTCCAGCTCAGGAAGAGCTTCGGCTCGGACTTTCCTGTTCTGCGTCTGCACTCGGACAGAGGCGGAGAGTTCTCTTCTCGCCTTCTGCGGGACTACTGTCGTGCACGGGGGATTCGCCAGACCTTCACGCTTCCGGACTCACCACAGCAAAATGGGATTGCTGAGCGCCGCATTGGCATGGTCATGGATGTTGCTCGTACGTCCATGATGCATGCGGATGCCCCCCATTTTCTGTGGCCGTTTGCAGTGAGGTACGCGGCGCATCAGCTCAACCTTCACCCCCGGGTCTCTCGGCCTGCGATGTCCCCAGCCTTGCTGTGGACGGGGAAGGTTGGCGATGCGTCTGTGTTCCGTGTCTGGGGATCTCGGGCGTTTGTCCGCGACTTGTCTGCGGACAAGCTGTCCCCTCGTGCTGCTCCCTGTGTCTTCCTTGGCTTCCCCACTGACGCCCCAGGGTGGCAGTTTTACCACCCCTCCTCTCGTCGTGTTCTGTCCTCCCAGGACGTCACGTTCGACGAGTCAGTCCCCTTCTACCGTCTCTTCCCCTACCGCACTCCTTCTCTCCCCCCTCCCCCAGACTTCCTTGTGCCGGTTCCCCCCCCGGTAGACCCCCTCCTCCCTCAGGTTCCTGCCCCCTCAGGTGTGTCCCAGGTAGACGCCGTTGACTCGGTCGAGGTTACTGGTGACTCTGGTGCTGCTGCGGGTGCTGAGCCTGGGGGTGCTGACTCTGGGGGTGCTGTGCGCGGGGGTGCTGAGCCTGGGGGTGCTACTGCTGGGGGTGCTGGGCCTGGAGGTGCTACTGCGGAGGGTGCGGAGCCTGGGGGTGCTTAGTCGGGGGGTGCTGTGCCTGGAGGTGCTTGGTCTTGGGGTGCTGGGTCGGGAGCTGCTGAGCCTGGGGGTGCGAAGCTGGGAGCTGCTGAGCCTGGGGGTGCTGCGTCTGGAGCTGCTGAGCCTGGGGTTTCTCCTGCTGCTGCGTCTCGCCGGGAGCCCCTCTCTCCACAGGAGCTGCGTGAGTGGTTCGCTCGCCGCTGGAGGCGTGCTGCTGAGTCTGGAGGTGCTGCTGGAGCTGGAGCTGGAGCTTCTTCGACCGTCGAGGATGCGGGTGCTGCCGGTCCCAGAGCTGCTGGACGTGCGGGTCCTCCTGGAGCTGGAGCTGCTGAGGGCGTTGGTGCTGAGCCTACTGCTGTTGGTCCTGCCGCTGGAGGTGTGGGTGGCGCTGGTGCTGTCGCTGAGGGTGCTGGTGCTGTCCCTGCTGAGTCTGGAGCTGCCGCGCGGCCTCGGCCGTACTTCGTTCCGCTCTTGCAGCAGGTTCTTGGTCTTTCTCCTCCACTAGAGGGTCCACCGCCTGTCCAGTCGCAGTCCCTGCTGGAGCCTTCCTCTCCACTGCCTGCTCCCTCTCCTTACACTGGTCCTACTGGAGGTCTTGCTGAGCGTCATGAGCCTGCGTCTCGTCCCGCGTCGCCTGTTCGTGCTGCTCGCGCTAGTGGTCGCAGTTCGCGTCAGCGTCCTCCTCTTGTCCCTGGCACGCACCGGATGTCTTTGCGTCCGTCCACGGCTCCTCTGCGCGCCCCTTTGCCTTCTCCTCCTGAGTCCTCTCTTCCTGCGCTTGCCGACCCTGAGTCGGACTCTCTTCATGCTGCCAGTCCTACTGTCACGCGTCTGCTTGCTACTGTCGTCACTGACCCCTCTTTTGAGTCCACTGCTGCGTCTGCTCTAGTCGCTGAGCTCGTCGACTTTGCTGCTCGCTGTCGTCTCGACTACGCTGCTAGTCTTGTTGCTGAGTCTGCGTCTGTCTGTCCTCCGTCCGTCGGGAGTGAGTGTGCTCTTGGCACGAACGTCCTAGAGGACAGGCAGGAGGAGTTACAGTGTCTAGTGGCTGCTTCACCTCATCTCGCGTCTCGACTGCTTGCCCCTGAGGGAGACCCGGATGCACTAGACATCCCGACTCCGCGTTCTTACGCGGAGGCCGTAGAGGGTCCCTACTCCTCTCAGTGGCAGGCAGCTATGGATGCAGAGATGGCTTCCTGGAAGTCCACAGGCACCTACGTTGACGCGGTTCCCCCTCCTGGGGCGAACATCGTCAGTGGCATGTGGATCTTCAGGGTGAAGCGGCCGCCGGGCTCTCCACCTGTCTTCAAGGCACGGTACGTTGCTCGTGGCTTCAGTCAGCGGCAGGGAGTTGACTACTTTCAGACCTTCTCTCCCACCCCGAAGATGACTACTCTTCGGGTGCTGCTGCACATAGCCGCTCAGCGCGACTACGAGCTTCACTCTCTCGACTTCAGCACTGCGTTCTTGCAGGGTAGCCTGCACGAGGAGATCTGGCTTCGCCGTCCACCTGGCTTCACTGGGACTTTCCCTCCTGGCACCCAGTGGAGCCTCCGACCGCCAGTCTACGGTCTCCGCCAGGCACCGCGTGAGTGGCACGACACACTGAGGACTACGCTTGCGGCTCTTGGGTTTGCTCCTTCTTCTGCTGACCCGTCGCTGTTTCTTCGCACCGACACTTCCCTCCCGCCGTTCTACATCCTCGTGTACGTCGACGACTTGGTCTTTGCCACAGCGGACACTGCTGGACTCGCCTACGTGAAGTCCGAGCTGCTGAAGAGACACACGTGCACAGACCTGGGTGAACTGCGCAGCTACCTTGGCTTGCAGATCACTCGGGACAGAGCACGCCGCACCATTACCTTGACTCGGTCACACATGGTGCAGCAGGTCCTTCAGCGCTTCGGCTTCACGTACTCCTCGCCTCAGGCCACTCCTCTGCCTACTCGCCACTCACTCTGAGCTCTGCCTTCGGATGAGTCCGTAGAGTCGAATGGTCCGTATGCAGAGCTTGTTGGCTGCCTCATGTACCTGATGACCTGCACACGACCTGACCTTGCATACCCTCTGAGCATTCTTGCACGCTATGTTGCTCCTGGGAGACACAGACCGGAGCACATGGCTGCAGCGAAGAGGGTATTGCGCTACCTGTGCAGTACGTCGGGCATGGGGCTAGTGCTTGGAGGGCGGAGTCCAGTGGTCCTTACCGGCCACGCGGACGCTTCTTGGGCTGACGACCAGGCTACGCAGCGGTCGTCACAGGGTTACACCTTCAACCTTGGTTCCGGCTCTGTCTCGTGGCGGTCTACTCGCTCGTCTTCGGTTCTCGGCTCCAGTTGTGAGGCTGAGATCTACGCCGGGGCCATGGCTGCACAGGAGCTTCGCTGGCTCACCTACCTGCTGACTGACCTTGGAGAGCCGCCTCGTTCTCCTCCAGTGCTGTACGTAGACAACAAGGCCATGCTGGCCTTGTGTCGAGAGCAGCGCTTGGAGCACAGAACGAAGCACATTGCTCTCCGCTACTTCCTTGCTCGTGAGCTGCAGTAGCGTGGTCAGTTGCGACTTGCGTACGTGGCCTCTGAGGCCAACACTGCTGATGTGTTCACCAAGGCACTCGCGCCTTGTGACCATCAGCGCTTTTGCACCCAGCTGGGTCTTGTGCCTGTCTTGCCTCACTTGCTCTCCTCTTGACTTCACTTGTACTGTGACATATATATATACCTGCTCTTGCTTGTCTAGTTTTATATATATGTCTGTACTCCTGCATGTGAACTGGCCTCTGGCCCTGCTCTTGTGCTCGGACTATGTGGTGACTTTGTGATCCACCCTGAGCTTGCTTTGCTTTGCTTGACTAGTCTTGTGACCCCTTGTTCTCCCCCACTTTGCCTATGGAGGTGTGTCAAACATTATATATGTTATGCTTGTGTAGGCTACTGTGGCTTAGCCTATAGGGGGTACACAATTCTAGGGTTTCCTACTTGTACTCTTTTCACTGCTAGTTCATTCATTCCTGTTCACTTCTTTCACACCGGCCAGACTGGCCGATGCACCATTTTCCTACACATGTGCATTAGTTTCCTTTCAAACCCTTACGTTCACTAGATGAATTTATTTCCTACCTTCTATTTGAGTGAGACCACTAGATTCCGTGTACTATGCGAGATCTGAGCACTTCCGTTCTCCCTGGCATTTGCACTCTAAGTTCCCATACTGACCAACCTGGCCAATGCACCATTTTCCATATACATATGCATTAGATTCCTTTCGAACCTTATTAGCTCACTAGATTTATATATTTCCTACCTTCTGATCGAGTGAGACCGCTAGATTCCCTCTACTTTTTGAGAAATGAGCGTTTCCGTTCTCCTTGGCCCTACGTGCACTATAAGTGCGAAATGCCGGCCAGACTGGCCGATGCACCATTTTCTCTACACATGTGCGTTAGTTACCTTTCAAACCCTTACGTTCACTAGATGAATATATTTCCTACCTTCTTTTTGAGTGAGACCACTAGATTCCGTGTACTAAGCGAGATCTGAGCGCTTCCGTTCTCCCTGGCATTTGCACTCTAAGTTCCCATACTGACCGACCTGGCCAATGCACCATTTTCCATATACATATGCATTAGATTCCTTTCGAACCTTATTAGCTCACTAGATTTATATATTTCCCACTTTCTGATCGAGTGAGACCACTAGATTCCCTTTACTTTTTGAGAAATGAGCGTTTCCGTTCTCCTTGGCCCTACTTGCACTATAAGTGCGAAATGCCGGCCAGACTGGCCGATGCACCATTTTCTCTACACATGTGCGTTAGTTACCTTTCAAACCCTTAGTTTCCATAGATGAATATATTTCCTACTTTCTATTTGAGTGAGACCACTTGATTCCGTGTACTATGCGAGATCTGAGCGCTTCCGTTCTCCCTGGCATTTGAATTTTAAGTTCCGATACTGACCGACCTGGCCAATGCACCATTTTCTCTATACATGTGCGTTGAATACATTTCAAACCTTTTTAGCTGACTAGATTTATATATTTCCCACCTTCTGATCGAGTGAGACCGTTAGATTCCCTCTACTTTTTGAGAAACGAGCGTTTCCGTTCTCCCTGGCCCCACCTGCACTATGAGTGCGAAATGCCGGCCAGACTGGCCGATCCACCATTTTCTCTACACATGTGCGTTAGTTACCTTTCAAACCCTTACGTTCACTAGATGAATATATTTTCTACCTTATATTTGAGTGAGACCACTAGATTCCGTGTATTATGCGAGATCTGAGCGGTTCCGTTCTCCCAGGCATTTGCAGTCTAAGTTCCCATACTGACCGACCTGGCCAATGCATCACTTTCCATATATATATGCATTAGATTCCTTCCGAACCTTATTAGCTCACTAGATTTATATATTTCCCATCTTCTGATCGAGTGAGACCGCTAGATTCCCTTTAGTTTTTGAAAAATGAGCGTTCCCGTTCTCCTTGGCCCTACTTGCACTATAAGTGCGAAATGCCGGCCAGACTGGCCAATGCACCATTCTTTCTACACATGTGCGTTAGTTACCTTTCAAACCCTTACGTTCACTATATGAATATATTTCCTACCTTCTTTTTGAGTGAGACCACTAGATTCCGTGTACTATGCGAGATCTGAGCGCTTCCGTTCTCCCTGGCATTTGCACTCTAAGTTCCCATACTGACCGACCTGGCCAATGCACCATTTTCCATATACATATGCATTAGATTCCTTTCGAACCTTATTAGCTCACTAGTTTTATATATTTCCCACCTTCTGATCGAGTGAGACTGCTAGATTCCCTCTACTTTTTTAGTAATGAGCGTTTCCGTTCTCCTTGGCCCTAGTTGCACTATAAGTGCGAAATGCCGGCCAGACTGGCCGATGCACAATTATCTCTACACATGTGCGTTAGTTACCTTTCAAACCCTTTCCTACTTTCTATTTGAGTGAGACCACTTGATTCCGTGTACTATGCGAGATCTGAGCGCTTCCGTTCTCCCTGGCATTTGCATTTTAAGTTCCGATACTGACCGACCTGGCCAATGCACCATTTTCTCTATACATGTGAAATGAATACCTTTCAAACCTTTTAAGCTGACTAGATTTATATATTTCCCACCTTCTGATCGAGTGAGACCGTAAGATTCCCTCTACTTTTTGAGAAACGAGCGTTTCCGTTCTCCCTGGCCCCACCTGCACTATGAGTGCGAAATGCCGGCCAGACTGGCCGATGCACCATTTTCTCTACACATGTGCGTTAGTTACCTTTTCAAACCCTTACGTTCACTAGATGAATATATTTCCTACCTTATATTTGAGTGAGACCACTAGAGTCCGTGTACTTTGCGAGATCTGAGCGCTTCCGTTCTCCCTGGCATTTGCACTCTAAGTTCCCATACTGACCAACCTGGCCAATGCACCATTTTCCATATTAATATGCATTAGATTCCTTTCAAACCTTATTAGCTCACTAGATTTATATATTTCCCACCTTCTGATCGAGTGAGACCGCTAGATTCCCTCTACTTTTTGAGAAATGAGCGTTTCCGTTCTCCTTGGCCCTACTTGCACTATAAGTGCGAAATGCCGGCCAGACTGGCCGATGCACCATTTTTTCTACACATGTGCGTTAGTTACCTTTCAAACCTTAACGTTCACGAGATGAATTTATTTCCTACCTTCTTTTTGAGTGAGACCACTAGATTCCGTGTACTATGCGAGATCTGAGCGCTTCCGTTCTCCCTGGCATTTGCACTCTAAGTTCCCATACTAACCGACCTGGCCAATGCACCATTTTCCATATACATATGCATTAGATTCCTTTCGAACCTTATTAGCTCACTAGATTTATATATTTCCCACCTTCTGATCGAGTGAGACCGCTAGATTCCCTCTACTTTTTGAGAAATGAGCGTTTCCGTTCTCCTTGGCCCTACTTGCACTATAAGTGCGAAATGCCGGCCAGACTGGCCGATGCACCATTTTCTCTACACATGTGCTTTAGTTACCTTTCAAACCCTTACGTTCACTAGATGAATTTATTTCCTACCTTCTATTTGAGTGAGACAACAAGATTCCGTGTACTATGCGAGATCTGAGCGCTTCCGTTCTCCCTGGCATTTGCACTCTAAGTTCCCAAACTGACCGACCTGGCCAATGCACCATTTTCCATATACATATGCATTAGATTCCTTTCCAACCTTATAAGCTCACTAGTTTTATATATTTCCCACCTTCTGATCGAGTGAGTCTGCTAGATTCCCTCTACTTTTTGAGAAATGAGCGTTTCCGTTCTCCTTGGCCCTAGTTGCACTATCAGTGCGAAATGCCGGCCAGACTGGCCGATGCACAATTTTCTCTACACATGTGCATTAGTTACCTTTCAAGCCCTTCTCTACTTTCTATTTGAGTGAGACCACTTGATTCCGTGTACTATGCGAGATCTGAGCGCTTCCGTTCTCCCTGGCATTTGCATTTTAAGTTCCGATACTGACCGACCTGGCCAATGCACCATTTTCTCTATACATTTGCGTTGAATACATTTCAAACCTTTTTAGCTGACTAGATTTATATATTTCCCACCTTCTGATCGAGTGAGACCGTTAGATTTCCTCTACTTTTTGAGAAACGAGCGTTTCCGTTCTCCCTGGCCCCACCTGCATTATGAGTGCGAAATGCCGGCTAGACTGGCCGATGCACCATTTTCTCTACACATGTGCGTTAGTTACCTTTCAAACCCTTACGTTCACTAGATGAATATATTTCCTACTTTCTATTTGAGTGAGACCACTTGATTCCGTGTACTATGCGAGATCTGAGCGCTTCCGTTCTCCCTGGCATTTGCATTTTAAGTTCCGATACTGACCGACCTGGCCAATGCACCATTTTCTCTATACATGTGCGTTGAATACATTTCAAACCTTTTTAGCTGACTATATTTATATATTTCCCACCTTTTGATAGAGTGAGACCGTTACATTCCCTCTACTTTTTGAGAAATGAGCGTTTCCGTTCTTCCTGGCCCCACCTGCACTATGAGTGCGAAATGCCGGCCAGACTGGCCGATGCACCATTTTCTCTACACATGTGCGTTAGTTACCTTTCAAACCCTTACGTTCACTAGATGAATTTATTTCCTACCTTCTATTTGAGTGAGACCACTAGATTCCGTGTACTGTGCGAGATCTGAGCGCTTCCGTTCTCCCTGGCATTTGCACTCTAAGTTCCCACACTGACCGACCTGGCCAATGCACCATTTTGCATATACATATGCATTAGATTCCTTTCGAACCTTATTAGCTCACTAGTTTTATATATTTCCCACCTTCTGATCGAGTGAGACTGCTAGATTCCCTCTACTTTTTGAGAAATGAGCGTTTCCGTTCTCCTTGGCCCTAGTTGCACTATAAGTGCGAAATGCCGGCCAGACTGGCCGATGCACAATTTTCTCTACACATGTGCGTTAGTTACCTTTCAAACCCTTCCCTACTTTCTATTTGAGTGAGACCACTTGATTCCGTGTACTATGCG